ATACAGCTGCGAACTGACACAACCTCTTCTCCACAGTCTTGTCTACCACTAAGGGCCAACTTCCAACCCATGTGGCCCCTACCCCCACAAAGTCATACATTTACATATTTGATTTTTGTTTTTTCTTTAAATAAAGAGTTCTTTGAAAGCTAATCAAAACATAACACTAGTAGGTACAAGGTCCTGACCAGGCCACCCTTAAAACTTTCATGCAAACAGACAAACAAGACCCAAGGGCTGAACCCCAAGTGTAAGTGGTTTCACAAGGACCCTGTGAGGCAGTTGTGGTCAAGAAATTACATGATTTTCAGGCCTCTGACATATCAGGTATAATATCCCCATGAAGAGGCTTTCATTTCAGATTTAGAAAAGACAGGCAATGGTCAGTCCTTCTCTAGAACTTCCATTCACTTGTCTCCTGTGGCCATTTGGCTATTTCATATCCAAAGGGTTTGGTTTGCACAATTAACTGTTAAATGCTGCAGTTACTAATGGAGAAAAACTGCCTCCAGAGAACACCTACGCTCCAAAAAGAAAAGACAGGGGTCTGCTGCCACCTTGTGGTGGTTTGACACAAATGTGGGTGCAGCAAATCCAACAGAACAGTGCATACAGTATTTAAATGTGTAAAGGAGCTCTAGTATAGTGGTTATGAATCAGGCTGCAAACCTTAAGGTCAGCAGTTCAAAATTACCAGCCACTCCGCTTTCTGCTCCTGTAAAGATTTACAGCCCTTGGGAAGTTGGAGGTGGGTGGGAGGAAAGGGGGAGGGTGGTGCACGGGGTGGGGATTGGACTCAGAAGAGCTTGGGTGCTGGGGAGAGGGGCAATATACAGGGAGGGAGAGGGAAGTGGAGAAACGGGGGCAGATGGGAGAACAATTGGGCATATTTGAATGTGCCAAATGGGACAGAGATAAAGGACGATATATGCACAGCCTTGGAACTAGGGCTCTGAGATACAGGGATTGAGTCATGGTTGGAATGGGAGGGATCATGTTAAGATGTTTGGCTGTTTTTTGAATCTTGGTTTTCCTTGCATTATAATATAGAGTAGACACTGGAGGGGGAGAGAAAGGAATAGTCAGAAACATCACACTAGAAGGCTCATAAGTCTGTCTTCTGCCTATAACTGATTGGAATACCTAAAATGGGGCGACAGCGTACCCAGTGAACGAGGCTTCCTGCAGAGCCTTTGCAATACATAAAACTATAGGTAGAAACCTGAACCACATCCAGATATCCAGAGATGAGAAATCTCCATTTGAAAGGACAAGCAGACTGGAGAAAACAAAAGATACTTCTTGAATGAAAGACCTACAGGAAAAATATAAAACAATAGAGGCAGATGGGCTGTTACTACAAGAACAAACAAATCGCTTCCCTAGGAAACATCAAGGCAAGTGGTCCGGTCCTTTCAACACAAACCCCCTTCTAAGACTAAGACTCAATGGAAATACACGCCCTGATTGGTGACCACACACATCACCGATAGGGGGAAGTGGGGTAAAAGCAGCAATGAAGTGGCAAGGTAAGCCTTACAATAATGTTCAGTGGGCTTCTGTGGACCCAGTAGGGAACCTGGTTGGCAAGCAGTGTGAGGACACCTGGGGACTCCTGGGCCCAGAGTCAGTGGCATGGCCACGGAGGACTCGAGTGGCGAGTGGGAAGAGAGGGCATGTGCACAAGAACACCCAAACTTGCAGATGGTACCCATGTGACCTGGACCAGATGACTGGATGACCAGAGCTCAACCAGGAGAAGAAAGAGGGAAAAAAAAAAGATTGAGCTGACACAATCTGATGAACTTGACCTATACCTACGAATGCAGTGAGTCAAAAGCAACAAATCCTTACAGCAAGAAACATTCCCACCCCCACCCCCACCCTCCACACACAGAGTGGACAGAGATGGGCAACTTGGACATTGGATACCCAAATGGGGAGGGGGGGACTACAAAGGCAAGAAGTGACTGGCTTACCAGCTTTCAAGAGGGAACCTAGAGCTAGGGGGCATGGAGGAAGGCAGAATCTCCAGTGAATACTATCCAATCTGTCTAGGCGGAGCTGATGAAATGAAATACAGTTGGGTAACTTGCGATACAGTAGTGAATGATGGTTATCAGGACTGATTATGAGGGTTGGAAATGCAAAGGTAGACGTTTTGTAGCAAGGAAGGAAGTGATTATTTCTCCAGTCTAGAAGCGGAGGTTTCTAGGACCATCAACGGAGAAGAGCCGAGAGCGGGACCCTATCCAGAGAAGCAGAGATGCCTGAGATGGAGACAGAGACGATGGCATGGAGTGATGAAGCAGCTGGGGACTTTGGATCCAGAGAGGGAGAGGGACTGTGGGCTGAAAACTGGGGGAAGAGGGGGAAGTGTAGGGGGCGGGTTTCTAGGATATACCCTTTGGTCAGTAGATGATGCATGGAGGGCATTGGAACCATGGTAATGAAATGATATACGGTGGAATGAATGTAAAATTAAAGTTCTCTCATGTAAACTATCATGTAATTCACAATATCATAAAAATAAAAATAAATAAATAAAGATTTACAGCCTTGGAAACCCTGTAGAGAGTCACTATGAGTCGGAACCGACTCGATGGCACATAACAACAACATACTATAAAAATGGTTACGTTTATTGAACTTTCTAGATATTGAGACACAAAAAAAGACATACTAGTCTTAACCAGTGCTAATGCAAAGAAAGCTTTATTTATTGGCCAGTATTAACTTGCCTCAAAGCTTCATAGCAGCAACACAGAACTACTCAAAGTTCTGTGAAATGCTCTGGAGAAAAATAAAAATCAGTCCGAAAAAACAGAAAAAATTACATGCAAACCCAGCTATGCCCTGCCCCCGACAAAAAACACTTAGCCATCTTGTTACTGGAAGAAAACAATACTTCGGTTGGGATGAGAAGTGGGGAGAGTGGTCCAGTGGCTTAAATGAGTATTTATTCTGCAACAAGTCTTTTTTCCCCCACTGTCTTCTCTTCTGTTACCCCATGTAACACTTTCATGGAGTTCTGACCAGCTTCGTCACCAGCGTCCTTCATTTTCAATTCAATTAGCCACTGTTCTCCAGCTAATGACAGCAAAGGCAAAGGCTAGGGTGAGGGAGGAGAGGGGAAGCCTGGGAGAAACTTTTTTGGAAGAACTGCAAAGTTCAGTTAAGCCCTCCTCAGATGAGGAAAATGATGCCCTCAGACACCATGACCTGGTTGTCATCTTGCATCTTGCTCAGGGCAGCCTGGACCTCTGCTGCAGAGAAGGGTTCCTCTGAGTCCCGGTTGATGGATTCTGTCAGGCGATTCATGCCCACTGACTCGGCGTGGGCTTCCCGAAACACCTCCAAAAGGGCTACCTTGAACGCCTTCAACCTACCCAAGACAGAAGAAAGAGCAAAGGAGGCATAAACACTATGACCGAATGCTCTCAGAGAAAATGATAGTAGTAGTCATATGAAGTCCTGCTGTGGTGCTAACCACAAGGAATAAACCACCAGCTTCCCTGAGAAACCCTATACAGGCTCACTGGGAGTTGGAACCAACTTCATGCACTTATTAATATTCCTATACACACACACATTGCTGCCTGCTGGCTGCTCCACTCATGAATTTCATTCTTCATGCATACTGAGCAGACAAAAGCACCCAGGTCCTTTCAGTGGAGGAAACGGGCAATCTAATAAACTGCTGGTGGTGGTGTACCATGGAATTGGTTCCAACTCATAGTGAGCCTGCACAGGATTTCCCGGGCTGTAAATCTTTACAGGAACTTTAGAAAGCCTCATCATTCTCCTGCGGAACGTCTGGTAGTTTTGAACCGCTGACCTTGAGGTTAGCAGAGCTCCAAAACTGCTAGAAGAAATAAAAACTATTAGGGTATTTTTGGGTAATTTAACATCCACTTAAGTTTGGAAAAACATGGTGGCTCTTTAGGAAATGCTCTGGATTGCAAACCACTGGATCAGCAGTTCAAGCCCATCAGCTGCTCCATGGGATGGGGGAAAGATGAGGCTTTCTGCTGCAGCAAAGATTCACAGCCTTGGAAACCCTATACAGGGTGCTATGGCTCACGACACTTAACAGCAACTCAAATTTTAAAAGTGTATAACCTTTGACCCAGGAATCCCATTTCTAGGAACAGCTATACTTGCTTATGTGTACAGTGATAAATATAAAGATGTTTTCATATAAACAGCAATTGTAATGACAACCTAAATGTCCAGCATTAGCAAACTCATTAATTTGACACATCCACACTATAGAAATCCTGCCATCATTAAGAAAAGAGCTCTATATGAGTTGAAAGTGCCTTCGGATACAGTTCAGTGTTTGCCTCTGGGAGGTGGAAGCTCATTTGATTTTAATGTGGTTTTTGTCCCTAAATACCTCTCAATGTTTTCTAGTAAACACATTGTGTGTGTATGTAAAGTATAAAAAGATTCAATCTTAGCTATGGAGTTTGTTTGATATCCAGCAAACAAGATATTTACAAACATAAGTGTGTTTGAAATCCTAATGGTAACAGTTCTTCATTTAAAAACAAATGGCCAAAATTCAATAAGAAAAATATGTGCACGTGTAAGGAGCTCTGGTAGCGTAGTGGTTACGAATCGGGCTGCGAACCTTAAGGTCAGCGGTTCGAAACTACCAGCTGCTCTGCGGGAGAAAGATGAGGCTTTCTACTCCCGTAAAGATTTACACCCTCGGAAACCCTGTACAGGGTCGCTATGGGTCGGAACCGACTCGACGGCACTTAACAACATTTTCCACAGAAACACATAAATATGGATTCTGTGTCTTACTGACTGCCCAAGATTATAAGACACACATTTCATTCTTATTTAAGATCCTCTTCCTGACCTCACATGACATAATTTAAATCTCTACAGTTATTGTTGGTAAATGCCACTGAGTTGGTTCTGACTCATAGAGATCCTGCATAAGGTTTCGAAGGAGCAGCTGGTGGGTTCGAACTGCCAACACTGTGGTCTGCAGTCCAGTGCTTATCCTATAACACAACACCAGGAGTCCAATCCTTATAAAGTGAGTAAATGAAAAAGTGTAAACACCTGGAGATTCTGGGTAAAGTGTATACAGAACTTTACACTAACTTTACAACTTTTTGTACATCTGAAATTATAATCAGGATACTTTTTTTTTTAACCCTTAGGCCTTCATAGTTTTTCCCCGGGGTGGTGTGGGGAATTGATGAATAATAGGACCAACTTCCTATTTACCTGGATTCACTCAACTCCGTCTTCTGAGATTCTTTGGTCTCCTGTGCTTCTGTTGTCTTTGGAGTATGTACTTTCGAGAATTCATAGGTGGAGAGATTGGGAAGACACCAAGGTGATATTTTTAAACACCAGAAATTACTTTCTCCACCCCTCATATCTTAAGTCTAATATTCATGTTTCTCAGGGTTCTTACGGGGCCAGGCAACACAATTAGGATAGTAATTAGGATACATAAAAGGAAATTCCCACTGATCTATAAAGAAACAGAGGCAGGCAAAAGGCCCTGAACAAGCATTACCTAGAATGCTTTATCAGGTTTGGCAAAAAAGCAGAGTTTATCAAGGAAAAGTACAAACACCTTTTGTAGGTGACAATGCTGATTTTTTTACTATGAGTTTCCCTCCCCTGAGGTTCTCTTTGGACAAACCTCTTGCATAAAAGAACCCCAAGCAGGGTGCTAAGACAGTAGAGGAAGCCACCTCTGATCAGCAGGGGTGCTCACTCACCTTGAGGCATTTCCTCTTCTGTGTCACTGAAGTCATAGGGGTCATAGGAGTCCCCGTCCTTGGTCTCTGAGTGTCTAGGCTTCTTCCTAAAATACTCACAGCAATTAACAGAAAGGACTTGAGGCGCCCCCCAATGTGGCACTGTAGGATTAGTGCTGGACCACAAGTCAGTTTGAACCACAGGTCAACAGTTCAGACTTACCAGGCACTCCTCAGAAACCCACGACAGGGTCGCTATGGTCAGACCCAACTCTATAGCACTTAACAACAACAACAATCCTGTGCCTCTGATCACAAGGAAAACAAGAGTCATCACAATCAAAGAGAAGCACTATCCCAGGCCTGTACAAATCACTGTTTCGGAAAGACATCAAAAGTACATGTCCACGAAACAGGTGCTGCATCCCAATGCTTTCTCCCCATTATCCCTGCCTTACAAACTCAACGACAGACCTCAGGGAAAGAATTTTATGCAAATGTATGTCCCAAAACCTCAGTGAATGAGTAGGTTACTGCACCTGCTATTTGTCATTTCTTTAGCAGAAGAGGAGTCAAAAGTATCACACTAATAAACCCATAGGTGGGCTCCCTCACACACTGTCTCCTTGCCCAGTGGTGGTGATGGTGGTGGTGGTTGTGTGCCTTGGAGTTGGTTCTGACTCATAGCGATCCTGTATAAGGTTTACAAGACTGTAAATCTTTACAGGAACAGAAAGACTCAGCTTTCTCTGAAGAGACGCTAGTAGTTTTAAACTGACCTTGCAGTTTATCAGCCCAACACGTTGGCCTACCAACTATACTACCAAAGTTCCTCCTTTGACCAATGGTGGTGGTGGCAGTTATGTGCCGCAGAGTCAGTTCTGACTCACAGTGACCCTGTATAGGGTTTCCCAAGAGCAGATGGTGAGTTTGAACCACTGACAATGCAGTTCTAACTGACCTTGTGGTCCAACGCACTATCCTGTGGCTCCACTCCAAGACTCCGAATCCCATGAGGTGGTGGTGGTTATGTGCTGTGGAGTTGGTTCTGACTCATAGTAATCCTGTATAGGGTTTCTGAGGCTATAAATCTTTACATGAGCAGAAAGCCTCATAGTTCTCTAACAGAGTGATTGGTAGATTTGAAATGCTGATCTTGGAGTTAACAACCCAACGCGTATACCACTATACTACCAGTGCTCCTCCCTTTGCCCAGTAGTCATCCCCAATTCCTTCAGTGATAGGCATCCACGCCCTGAAGAACTCGTGTCAACAAACAGCACCTGACCCCCTCTCCACCTTGACCCTTTTATCCTCTTTGCCTTAGCCCACCACCTCACCTCTTCCTCTTCTGTTCCTGATCCTCGTCACTCTTCTCCTCTTCATCCTCTGTCTCGGACTCATCCTCACCTCGCTTCTTCCGTTTCTTCTCCTTCTCCAGAACCTAGGACCAAGCCGAGTGCAGAGGGGAGCTGAGTTAAGACCTGTAAACAGTCCCTTCTGCAGGAATGGGTCTAATGATGTGCCAGTCTCTCTTGTATCAAAGTCCCTGGGACCAGGATCCTGGGGAGAGGTTGTTACCCATCATTAAAAACATGGTGGGAGGTATGTTTCAACTCATAGCAACACTGTGTGGGGTTTCCAATAGCAGCTGGTAAATTTGAACTGCTTACCTTGAAGGAGCTCTGGTAGTGTAGTGGTCACGAATCGGGCTGCAAACCTTAAGGTCAGCAGTTCAAAACTACCAGCTGTTCCGCGGGAAAAAGATAAGGCGTTCTGCTCCCATAAAGATTTACAGCCTCGGAAACTCTGTACAGGGTCGCTATGAGTCAGAACCGACTCCACGGCACACAGCCACCACTACCACCTTGTGGTTGGAGTCCTGGTGTGGTGCTGTGGGCTAATGCGTCAGACTACAAAGTCATTTGAACTGCAAGGTTGGTGGTTCAAGCTCACCAGCTGCTCCTTGGAAACCCTATGCAGGTTCACTATGTGTCAGAATCAATATGACGGCACTTAACAACAACTTTGTGTTTAGCAGTCCAGTGCTTATCCTACAGCGTCACAGAATTCATTTCATATAAATGTTGTTAAGTGCCACTGAGTTGGTACCAACTCATAGTGACCCTGGTACAGGGTTTCCAAGGAGCAGCTAGTGAGTTTGAGCCACCAACCTTGCTGTTACTAGTCCAGAGCTTATCCTACAGCTCCACACCAGGACTCCCATATAGTTGATGTTGTTAAGTGCCATCGAGTAGGTTCTAATTCACAGCTCCTGTATAGGGTTTCTGAGGAGAAACTGGTGGGGGTTTGAACTGCTGACCTTGTTGTGGTTCAAGCCAACCTTGCGGTCCAGTGCTTATCCTATAGAGCCACGCATTTAGTAAACATTTATTGGTACATCATATAGTTGTTATTAAGTGCCATCGAATTGGTTCTGACCAGTAGTGACCTGGTATAGGGTTTCTGAGGAGTGACTGTTGAGCCTGAACCACCAACCTTGCAATTCAAACCAACTTTACAGTCCAATGCATTAACCCACAGCGCCACACCAGGATACCACCTCTTATAGCTGCTGCTAAGTGCTATAGAGTCAGTTGTGACCCTATACAGTGTTTCCTTGGAGTTGCCGGTGAGCTTGAACCACTAACCTTGTAATTCAAGCCAGCTTTACAGTCTGTGCATTAAAGCCACAGCACCATACCAGGACTCCACGTCATATTGTTGTTGTTAAGTGCCGTGGAGTCGGATCCAACCCATAGCGACCCTGTATAGGGTTTCCAAGGAGCAGTTGGTGAGCTTGAACCACCAACCTTGCAGTTCAAACAGGTTTGCAGTCTGGCGCATTAACTCACAGCGCCACACCAGGACTCCAGCTCATATAGTAGGTACCAATAAATGTTTACTAAATAAAGAAATGAAAACCAATGCCCATCCATAATGATTCATTGGAAAAGAATTCATTACTTTATAAATCAGGTATTTAACTGAAATTAAAGACAATTCCCCTTCCCTAGAACAAGAGACAATGCCAGAAGCCTATCAGACCCACAATAACCATATTCTAAGTAAATAAGGCACACACTATCCTGGCACCGTAGGATAAACACTAGATTGCTAACCACAAGGTCAGCAGTTCAAACCAATCAGATGCTTCTTGGAAAACCCTATTCAGGGTCACTATGTGTTGGAACTGACTCGATGACGACACTTAACAACAAAATAATTTTCACAAACTGTGCAACCCCTTGCAGCAAAAACAAAAAACTATAGACCCCAAAGGGCTACAATTAACCAACCTGTACAGGATACAATAACAAAGAAAAGAAAGTCAAGGCTCCATGGCTTGGTATCTACCCAACGGATACAACATCACAGAGAAAAGAGGGAAACTGAATGAGAGGCCAATTTGAGGGTTCAACTTTAGACACAAATTTCTGAGGTGTCAATGGGGCACCTGAAGACACTGCCAAAAAGAAAGGTGCAGAAGAGAGTGGGGAAGAGCACCAAGACAGACTTTTTGGGCATCTGTACTTTTTCAAAAGCAGAGACCAAGTTGATGGAGACACAGTTGACTATGCACAACCTTAAATGAGAACCTCTAGCTGATTTGCACAAGCAGCTAGGGGTGAGAACTAAACCACTGGTATGCATGCTTCAAAGATGAGAGAGACATAAACACTAAACACTGACAGTTTAATGGTGCTTCTTGTTGGCAATACAAGTTCAGGTGCCACGATGGAGTCTGGGAAGCCCATACAAGAACCATTATTCAGAAAAGCCCCTCATACCCAGGTATCTAAATCCTCACCTTCTTGAAGTAAGCATACTGGACCAACTCCACAGCTTCCTCGGCATCCTGTAGGTCCACAGTCTTGCTCATGCGGGCCTTGGCATGGGCTGTGGCCAATCGAATCAGAGTTTCCAGTGTCCGGGCTGTAACTGGAGATGTCTGGGGAAGAAAGGAAGAGAAGACTATGTATCCAGAATTCTCGAGGCATGCCCACCATTCCCACTGCACTGAAAGAGAAATAAAAACACTACCAGAAAAGATCCTGGAAGTCTAAGCAAAGATATGAGAACTTTGTATTCTCTACAGGTGCCATACAAAATAAGAAAGATAAAATGATCAGAGAAATACGTTGGTGGGTGACTGGGTGAATAGGGAAGAAGATGACCAAACATTCAACTGCATATAGCAAGAAAGAAAAAGTTATATATAAAGGGGGAAAAATAATCATTTATTACAATCAATAAAGTGCTACCAGGAACTTTGCTTTGATGCTCACTGTGTCATTTAATTAATCCTCTTAATAACTTGGAGTAGATGACCCCATTTCATAAATGACGAAAATGGGGCTCAAAGAATCTCAAGTAATCTGTCCAAGGACACAATGAGGGGAGGGAGTGAAAGAGGTAATTTGGGAATATCTCCCCACCCCCACCAAAAAAAAAAAAAAAAAAAACAAACGAGTGGGCAAACTAAAATCCAAGAGTGACAGAATTCAGACATGCCGTGTCAAGTGGTTTTCACAGGGTTGAGTGGATCCTAAGATCAGCTAGGGTGCTTTTATCTGTTTCCAATGCATGGGTAGGCAGGATTCCATTCCCTTAGTAAAACATTTCATTGCAATGATATAAGCCTGCTGTTATTAGCGTGTTAGGGAGATCCTAACAGGGATTTCATGGAGTCCTGTGGTAGCGTGTAGGATAAGCACTGGGCTACTTGTAAGGTCAGTGGTTCAAATCCACCAGCTGCCCCTCAGAAACTCTATACAGGGTCGCTATGAGTTGGACAGCACTTAACAAACAACAGGGATATGAGAAAACTAAATTCCTGTCCTAGGTGTGAGGTGGAAGTAGATGATCTGGGATAATGTCTAAATCAAGAATCTATGTCAGTATTACTGAATGAGGGTTCTGGACTTGAACTCTCTGCTATGAAATCCTGTATGGACTATATCATCCTAGGAGGCTTTGTTGTTGTTGTTGTTAAGTGCCTGTGAGTTGGTTCCGACCCATACCGATCCTGTATAGAGTTTCCGAGGAGTGGATGGTGAGCTTGAACCACCAACCTTGCAGTTCAAACAGCTCTGCAGTCTATATATTCAGTTACTAGAAATAGTTTTGGATAGCCATCACTCATGGTGCCAAACTCATCTTCTGTCAAAGTCAAGCTCAAATAGCACACTAATTGGGAAGCCTCTCCTGACAGTTAGCTCTCCCTCCTCCATCTAAAGAAAAATTCACGTCTTCTTCCTCTGTATTCCCATAATCTTCATACTTACTTTTTCCCCAAAAAGTGTCACTCTGGTGTATGTATTTATAAATATGTACAGTTGACCCTTGAGCAACACTGGTTTGAACTGTACAAATCCACTTGTACATGGATTTAAAAAAAAAAAAATTCATGTGCCACTACTGATTTCCACATGCACAATTTATCTCTCCAGTATAGTACCTATCAGTAAAAAGTGATCTCTTACAGTTCTTTCACCATGCTGAGAGCAATACCATAAACCCTGAGTCACACCAAGGGACCCAAATGAAGCGCCACTAGTGATGCTGGAAGTGCTCCTAAGAAGCAGAGAAAAGTCATGGTATTATAAGAACAAGTTGAACTGCTTGTTAAGTACTATAGATATAGGTCTGCAGTTATGGTTGCCCACCATCATAAGATAAATGAATCCAATGTAATAAGGATCATTAGAAAAAGAAGAAAAGAAAATTTGTGAAGTTGTCTCTGCAGCTATACAAGATGCATGAAAACCTTGTGCTTTTTGTGAAATACTTTTTTATGTCACACTGAAAACGCAGCTTTTATATGTGGGTGCAGTATACATTACATATAACTAACAAAATATGTGACTCAATTGTTCATGTTATTGGTAACGCTTCCTTCCAGTCAACAGTAGGCCATTAGGTAGTTTAGTTTTCAGGGAGTTCACCTTAACATGCAGATTTTCTATTGCATTGAGGGCTGGTGCCCCCGATTCTCAGGTTGCTCAAGGGTCAATTATATTATCTACCTACCTTTTTGCCTTCTTCTCCCAGATCTGAGTTCTTTGAGAACAGCTCTATCATTTTAACCTTACATGTAAGAAGAGAGACTAGTCTCCAGAATTCTTGTTTACTAAATGAATTGTAGTTTCTAGAGAACATAACTTTGAGGTATTGTTTCTTTTTTTTTTTTTCTTAAAAGTAAATTATTAAAATCGTGTAACTGAAAACCCACCAGACCAGAGAGAAAAGGGGATGAAACACTAAGTTAAAATGCTGTCAGAAGTGGCTCTCAGTTAGCAGAGACCACTTCCCAGCCATCTTCCCTGCATTGGGAGCTCACCCTGGCAGCGTCCGAGCTCACGCTGCCTTGGCCACGCAGACGTGAGTATTCTTCTGCAATGTAGGCAGCAGACTCCTGCGTCAGAACGGGCCTGATGATTTTGGCCACGTGGATGTACTTCTTCATGAAAGCCGCACTCACCATCTTCTCCCTGGTCCAGGCACAAGAGTGAGTCCCCCTGCCCTGCCATACCTCACCACCTACCTAGGTCGTGGTTATTCCTCTGTAGAGCCAAAGTCAATGTGGCTTCACTGTCACAACTGTCACTGATAGAAACAAAACTCTTCCACATATTCTTAACTAAGTCTTTATATATGAGAAAATTATGACTTAAAGTTAAGTGGCCTCAACTGTTCTCTAACTCCAAACTCTGTGTTCTTAAACAGTTCTGAAAACTACAAATGCACCAAAAAGAAAAGTATAGGAGCCCACATTTCATGCTTTAAGCACCTGACCGCATGTCTCCTTTATCCAGCCCCATTTGCAAATCCACCAATACTTGCAATTTATTGGCCCTTCACCATACACATTCATGACACATTCAGTCCTTCAGATAAGAAGGTGACATCACACATTGCTATTATCAAGGTCTTCTATCTTATGAACTATCTGAACCTGAGCTGAACCCCATACCAATCATTATAAGGCAATCGGCCAGGATAAAGATTGTATCTAAAAACCCAGAAAAGACTACAGGTCTGCATGCTGACAAAATGCAAGTATGATCTTGGCCTAGGCAGCACAATGCTCTGAACTGAGCTCAGACACCCATATGTTCTAACAGGACACAAGTGGTATGAAGATTGCTCACCTTTTCTTCTTAGTACCATGCAGAAGGTTGTCATGCTTGTCATATATCTGGGTGTCCTGATGCTCTTCCTGGCTAAAGTTAGGGTCATCTGTGGCCAGAATATCCACAACACTACCCAAGGGCATAGCTGGGAAACCCAAGTTGGGAGAAACAAGAGTTAAGAAAAGTTTGACTCGGTGAAACTGCTTCTTCTACAGCCGAGTAAGGGTAAAAAAGAGAGGAAAGACCCACAAAGCACAAGTTCAAAGGGAAAACAGTCACTTTGGAACCCAGATGGCCCTAGGAGCTCAAGAGTATGCCCAGATCCAAGAGCAGACAGAAGACACAACATAAGAGGAGCTCCACTGAGCAAGAAGGGAGGTGGCCAACATGCTAGGGTATCTTCAGCATCTACCAAAACACTGAAACACCCCGCCACCTGAACTGGGCCTGAGAGAACTCCCACCCCTCTTCCTGTGGCCTCACCATCGCCGTCCTGCTCCCCAGGTGCTCGGTAGCGGTGCATCCTAAGGACGTGGTCCGAGACCTCCCGATCCTGCTCAGGGTCCATCTGATCCAGCATGATGAAGAGCAAGTCAAATCGGGACAGCAGTGAGTCCTGCAGCCCAATGTTCTCCATGGGGGTCTTGTATTGATCATACTGAGGAACATAAGAAAAAGCAAAGTGGAGGTGGTATCAGTAGGGGAAACCACAGGGAGGCCAGGTTGATTCTGGGACTAAGAATGCAAGGCTAGACATTAAAAAAACAAAAAACACAAAATGTTACTATTGTTAGTTGCCATAGCCATTAAAGGAGTCCTAGTGTGGCACCAGAGGATAAGCACTAGACCTCAAGGTCAGTTTGAACTGCAAGGTCAGCGGTTCAAACTCACCAGGTGCTCCTCAAAAATCATATACACGTTCTCTAGAAGTCAGAACCGACTTGGTGACACTTAGCAACAATAGCCATTAAAGCACTAAATATTATCTCTTGGTACCTGCAATCCTTCTCTAACAGCTTAGGAGGTAACCTGACCTAACTCAGTTCTACCTCATTCTTCTCCAGCAAATAAAACCCAAACCAAACTAGATGTCAAGTCCATTCTGACTCACGGAGGCCCCGTGCATGCAGAGTGGGCCTGCTCCATGGGGATTTTAAGGCTATGATCTGTCAGGAGATCAGGTCTGTCTTCTCAGGTGCGTCTGGGTGGGTTCAGACACCAACTTTTTTGGTTAGTTAAGCACTTACCTGTTTGCACTACTCAGGAACTCCAAGCAAAAAAAGCCCTACTATTTGCTCAAATACCTCAAACAAGCTAAGTGTGCATCTAAAAAACAACCTGAGTCTTTATTCTGCTGTCACTCCCAAGACAAGATCAACAGCAGCCCCACAGATGATCCCCACTCCCCTCCATTTTATAAAGACACAGCAAGCTGGGGGACACAGAAGTTACTTAGGAACTCTGGGCTTCCTTACTCAGAAGGTAATGAGTAAAATCACATCTAAAGTGGTCAGTGAAGATAATAACAAAAATGAAGATACTAACAAAACCTACCTCACAGGAGTATTGTGGGGGTTTAAGAAGCTGACAGATATAAATCACTTCAACGTCTTACTAATAGGTGTCCTGGTGGTACAGTGATTACCGCTTGGCTACTTACTGAAAGGTCAACTGCTTGGACCCACCAGTCGCTCCATGGACTGTTTTCATAAAGATGTACAGCCTTAGAAACCCAACAAGGGCATTTTTACTCTGCTCTATAGTAGTCCTAGTGTGGCGCTGTGGGTTAATGTGCCAGACTGCAAAACCATTTGAATTACAAGGTCGGCGGTTTAAGCTCACCAACTGCTCCTCGGAAACCAGATACAGGGTCATTATGGGTTGGAATCGACTCAACGACACTTAAAAATAACAACAGGGACACTGAGTTGGAATCGACAGCAGCAATAGGTTATGTAACAGTAGAAATATATAATATAATCTTCCTTGAAATTAATTTGGTAGTCTCTACTAAAATAAGAAGGAGTCCTAGTAGCATAGTGGATTACAAGCTGCACTGCTAACCACAAGGTCAGCAGTTCGAATCTACCTCAAGGGAAAGTGATGAGGTTTTCTGTTCCCATAAAGATTTATTTATAGGAGACGGAACTGACTCAACAGTACAGCACTGGCACCAGGCACCAAAATAAACAAGCATGAAAACTCTCAACCCAGGGATTCCATAGCTAGTTATTTATCCAATATATTCAAAAAGTATAACCAAATCCATGTAAAAGGATGTTCACTGCAGCTTCATTAACATACGGAGGGAGGGGGCAGAGGCACCAAATGATCATCATATAGATAACTATAAAATACTATGTTGTTAGGTGCCTCTGAGTAAGCTCCAACTCACAGTACCTCTATGCACAACAGAACAAAACACTGCCCGGTCCTGCACCATCCTATACCAATTATTGTTTGAGCCCAATGTTGCTGTCACTGTGTCAATCCATTTTGTTGGGGGTCTTCCTCTTTTTCACTGACCCTCTACTTTACAAGCACGATGTCCTTCTCCAGGGATTGATCCCTCCTGATAGTATGTCTAAAGTATGTGAGACAAAAAGTCTTGCTATTCTTGCTTCTAAGGAGGATTCTGGCTGCACTTCTTCCAAGACAGAGCTTATCTGTTCTTCTGGTAGTCCACCTCACTGTAGATTACCTTACATGATGCTTATTACTGTTATGTATAAACTACCTAATAATTTCAGTGATTTCCAGACACCGAGCTGGGCACTCTTCCATAATTAATCACGCTCCATGATGGGATCCGATGTGTGTCATCCCCTCTTTTTCTATCCCCTCCCTACTCTACACTTTGAGTTCTTGGGAAGTAAGCCTACAGATGCCTCTAGTCTCCCACCTGACCTGCAGGTTGTAGACTCCCCAGCCCCTACAACCCTGTGAGCCAACAGCGTTCTCCAGCCCGCTGGCGGACCAACAGATTGGGAACTTGGCAGCCTCCACATTTACATGAGCCATTTCCTAGAAGTAAATCTCTCTGTATATATTTATATATACATTCCCTAGGGTTTGCTCCTCTAGGGAACTCAGACTAAAACATTTTAGGTCATTTTTGTTTTCCACTGTGTATTTTTTAAGTCCTTAAAAAAACTAAACTATTTTCCAAGGGAGTCAGATGTATACAAAGGTGAGTTGTCACTGCTCCAAATCACTGCTCAATAACAAGATGATAAGCTCAGTCTCTGGCTTCTCACTGCCCTGGGTCACCCAGAAAAAAACTTTTCAACCCGGTTATTCAGAAAAGTCAGGTGAAGCTGAGACAAGTTAATTCCACTCACTCTGCCATAGACGGGGTTGGCAGCTGCCAAAACACTGCAGCGGGCATTCAGCCGAGCGTGGATGCCAGCCTTGGCAATGGTGACTCGACCCTGCTCCATCACTTCGTGGATGGCTGTGCGGTCCATGTCAGACATCTTGTCAAATTCATCTATGCAAACCACACCACGGTCAGCCAGGACCATGGCCCCCGCTTCTAGACGGCGCTCCCCTGTGAGGAAAGGAGGTAAAAACGTGTATGAGAATGCAGCCAGCTCCTAGATTTAGTGCACTTGGGGGTGACCCCAAGTGGGTCACCTTTTTCTTTCTACTGAACAGTGTCTCCTTATTCCACTTTAATTCCTAAGCAACTAGCCTCCCATACCTATCTTTTATAGATTTTCTCTTTATCCTCATACTCAAGTGATTTTCAAATTAGATCTTCTGCCTTTTCACTGACCTTCAAATCCCTATCTCTAATTCATTAGATCTCCATTCTGCTCTAATTTGCTAAGGTCTCTCCTTCAAAACCCTATTTCATATCTCCTTCTATGAGACACATATCACCAAAGACTTAAGTTCATCCACTATTGTTGGATCCAAAAAACCAAATCCACTGCCATTGAGTCACTCCCAACTCATAGTGACCCTATTGAGGGTTTCTGAGACTATCAATCTTTATAGGAGCTAACAGCCTCATTCTCCTGAGGAGCAGCTGGTGGGTTTGAACCACTGACCTTTTGGTTAGCAGTCCAACATCTACCCACAGCACCTCTAGGGACACTTAAGGGTTTTTTTTGGGTAGTACATCTTTGGGTACTCAGTATTAATCAATCTGGCTCCAACTAACCTCTCAACTGTATTTTCCCAACATGAAAGTCAGTGCCTAGACTAAGCTCAAACACTGGACTCAATCTCACGGCTGGACCTTGGCATTAGACCCTTACCTGTTTCCTGGTCTGTGGTGACAGCAGCTGTCAGACCCACTCCAGAAGAGCCCCGGCCAGTGGTGGGGATGGCCCGGGGTGCTGTGCAAAGTACATACCGCAGAAGCTGAGACTTAGCAACCGAAGGGTCTCCTATAGTAGGATGGGAACAGTGATGACTCTAGGGAACTGAGAGACAGCACCTCACTCCCCCACTCCCTGCAAGCACGACTCCCAGCACAAAAAAGCTATCGAATACATGGTTGTTAATATGGTTTCCTCCACTTTTCCCTTTCCATTCATGGAAGAATACATTGTAGATAATAAATCAGAAAATCTAAAAGTGATAATAAATTTTGTTTTTTCTTAGCCTTTTACCCTTTGACATACTGAAATGCTGCCAAATTAATACACAATCCTACAGGGCATAGATCCCCACAACCACACTCCACAAGGTAAGACTGACTCCATAGCAAACCTCAAACATCATACCTATTAGAAGAATATTGATGTCCCCACGGATGTGGCTGCCATTTTCTAGGTCTCGTTCTACCCCTCCCAAGAGCAAGCAGAGGATTGCCTTCTTGACATAGTCATGTCCATGAATACTAGGGGCCAATGACCTGGCCAGCTGGTCAAAGATGTCCTAGAGGGACAACCAAGGGAGAGAAAAACTCAGTGAAACCCAATGGAATTTTGCTGAGCTTCTGCTTCATACTTTAGTCTACAGAAGGTGTTTGAAGAAATATGCAAATATGGAAGCTGTTCCTATAGCAAAAGATAAATTACATTTTTCAGACCATTCATTTCAGGACAGACAGAAGCAGAAGGGACAGTAAAACTTGCTTGGATGTTTAATCTGTAAGAAAATTGTTCCAAGTTTTAAAACGTTTATGGTTAATGGCGCATTGTGCTTCAGCTTTATGTTTATCCCTCATTCATAAAAATCTAAATGGGACCGCTTATCTTTAAAAAAAAAAAGGTAGACAACTGCTCTGAAAGAGATCACATTGGAAGGTCATGAATAGAGTAACAGAAAATGATGTGGGACAAAACTTAAAATTAGTAAAAAAAAAATACCAGGCTGACTGGTCAGAACGAGACTGAAGGAATCTGTGATTATGGCCCTTGACCACCTTTCATGTCTGGAATGGAACTCACGGGCGTGGCCCAATTTTCAGCCAAACAGTCGATAGGTATATAGAGGGAGCAACAACACTAATAAGGTATGCCCACCGTGGAATGATCAATCATTCAAGATCAAAAGAGCAACATTCCCGTAAAGACAAAGGTGAGAAAGGATGGAAAGGAGGGTGGAATGGAAATAGGAACACAGGGAGGAATCGGGGAACTGTTGTTGCATGGAGGGGATTGCAATCTATGAGATGAAACAAAGTGTCGGATCTGTTGAATGCAAAACTGATAATCTTCTCTCTAAACCTTCACTTAATTCATAAGTTAAAAAAAAAATAGTAGGAAAAGCAAATTGGAAGACTATAATAAAAACAATATTTTATAGTCCATGTTTGTGAGTCCTGGTTTGGCATTGTGCGTTAACTGCAAAACTGACTGCAAAGTCAGTTTGAACCACAAGGTCAGTGGTTCAAGCTCACCAGGCACTCCTCGGAACCAATTCCATGGCTTAACAATAAAATAAATGGTCCTAAGATGTAATACTATTACACCACTAATGTGTTTATTAATAAACACTCATTAGTACACAGCTAAAGGAGCTCTGGTAGTGTAGTGGTAACGAATCGGGCTGCGAACAGCAAGGCCAGCAGTTCAAAACTACCAGCTGTTCCGTGGGAGAAAGATGAGACTTTCTGCTCCCGTAAAGATTTATAGCCTCGGAAACCCTGTACAGGGTCGCTATGAGTCAGAACCGACTCCACGGCACACAGCCACCAGCCAGCCACAGTACACAGCTATTGTAACTACTACTGTAATATTTATATTAGGTCTACTTAGCAGTCCAGCAGGAATCCAACAGAAATATTTTTAAAAACATCTTTTGACTTGCTGAGTGGGACAAAAATGGAGGAAGCTTCAAATACTTGAGAGGAAGAAAAAACACGTGACCTTGCTCCTGCCAGTACAAAAGATGACCATGCACCCATCTTACAGATCCAGCCCACTCTCAAGTCCCTAAATTCAAGGTACAATGCTATCCCCAAATGACGCCCAGACCTTGGAACGGGTTTTACTGAACTTCTTGATCTTGGCTATGTCCTCAGCAGAGAATGAAGGCTGGACATCTTTGCTCATTTGCTTCACATTACAGGCAAGCAGGACAGTCCTGTGACAAGAGGATAATCAGAGGAAGCCCACAAATTTTTAACAGTAGCCAGTACTCCCAGAAGCAGCAAACCTTCATAAACTAAACTAGAAGGGCAAATCAAGGGGTAGGGTTGGGAAACTGTTGTGAATTTAACACAGGTTCTCAACCAGTAATCCAAATATGCTAAGCATGACTCACTGGTAGCATAATGGTTACAAGTCGGGCTGCTAACTTCAAAGTCAGCAGTTTGAAACTACCAGTTGTTCCGTGGAAGAAAGATGAGGCTTGCTGCTCCTATAAAGAGTTACAACCTCCGAAATCCTATGCAGGGTCGCTGTGAGTCAGAACTAACTTCCATGACACACCACCAAACCATTAACCCAAGTTTCAGATAGAAGTGAATATGGGAAATTCCTATAAACTGTGAAGCTATGATCATGTTACCAGTGATTCCCACTTTTGGGCAGTATTACCAATTTTATCTGATAGAAAGAGGTATCCCACCTCAGACAGGTCCAGTAGCCTGTTGAGAGTATGATAAACTAAAAGAAAAGAATGCTACCAGGAATTATAGCTGCCACAAGCATTCCTAACACTTGAAGGCTGACCCTTTACCTGAAGGTCCCTGAGGTATAGCCTCCCTTCTTCCCAGGAAGGCAACGGTAAGTCCCCACCACTTGGACTCGATCACCAGGCTTCACTTTATCCACCAAGTCATCATCCAGAATGACGTCCACAGAGCGCGGAAGCTGGCCAGCTGGGGCCTTCTCCGGCATCTCCTGGATAGTAATTGTCTGGTGGTCCTTGTAGACAGAAAGGCCATATTCTGTCTCAAGCGGATTATTCTCTTCATCCTGGAAGAAGGTACACAAAAAAGCTGTTATCTCAGACCTATCTTAAAAATGCCATGCCCATCTGTTGTGGTTAATAATGATCAGAGATGACTCAAGGAGATTTTTGCATCCAGGCATGAAAACAGTTCAATACATTCTCCAGATTTTCCCATTCATACCTGTTCAAATAACTAACCATCAAATAAAAGAGACAAACCATAGTCAGAAGAGACCATGGCTGCAATAACATAAATTAGATTAACATCTAAAATAAGATTCTAACTTAACTCTACACAATGATGCAATATTCCCACTCCTAGGTAATACCCAACAGAAATGTTCACCAAACGCCACCAAAGTAATAGAGCACTGCTTCCATGAGTATTGGCTGTGGATCCAAGTACAACGAAGTGTTTGACAACGTCAATATTTTCTCCAATTATCATGATGCTATTTATTGGTCCAATTGTGAGGATTCTTGTTTTCTTTACATCGAGGTGCAACTCATACTGAAGGCTGTATGTAGTCTTTGATTTTCATCAGTATTTTAAGCTCAGCAAATAAAGGTGAATCATCTGTATATTGCAGGTTGTTAACGAGTCTTCTTCCAATCCTGATTTTTTTTTGTTCTTCATCATATAATCCAGTTTTTCAAATTATTTGTTCAGCATACAGACTGACTAAATATGGTGAAAGAATACAGCCCGGATGTACACCTTTCCCTATTTTAAACCATTCCATATCCCCTTGTTCTAATCAACTATGCCATTTAAAGTGAAGAAAGTGGTTTAAGGGGTTAAGGGGTCTTCTGAGTACCAGTGAAAGTCTGTTTCCTGGTTTGGATGGTGATTATACAGTATATTAAACTTGTAGAAATTCACCAAATGTACACTTACTTACATGAAGCTGCCCATACATAAATTAAATGTCAATAAAAATATCCAAGTTGATTAGGCCAATATTCCCAGTAATTTGTAATTATCCTCTATTTTGTGATTAGATGCGATTAACATCCACTTTGTGATATTATATAACCACCCTCCATTTCCTGTATTGTAAACCCTAAAACCTCTATGAGGCAGAATTAGGGTGGTATAAATCTTTCGTTGCAACACCTTACTCAAGTCAACCGCTTGTTACAAGAGAAAAGGAGAGAAGGGAGCTCAGAGGAGAGGCTTCATTGCCACCAAGAAAAGCAAGGATTGGAATGCATTCCTTAGACCCATGGTCCAGCACTGAGAACCTCCCAGACCTAGGGGAAGACTGGATGCCAAAACACATGGAGATCTCCAAGATATGCAGGATCCACAGATGTTGAAAGATAAGAACCATCCCCAAGAGCTAACACAGAGAGAAAACCTTCCCTTAAGAGCTGAAGTTCTGAATTCAGACTTCTAGCTTCCAAAACTGTGAGAGAATATATTTTTGTTTGCTAAAGCTCTTCACTTGTGATATTTCTGTTATAGCAACACTAAATAAGGAACACAACTTCTCTGCCATGTGATTCTCTTAAAAAAATAAAAATCAAGAGTTAGCACTTACTGCATGCTCACTATGTGCAAGGTACTGCACTATAATTTCATGAAATTATCCCATGTAACATCATAACTCTGTTAAGCACGTGACTTTTTACATAATACAGTACGGAAACTGAGTCTGAGAGAGATTAAATAAGTTCCCCCAAGTCATACGATAAGTAGCAGAGCAAGGCCTTGAGCTGGATGTGATTCCAAAGCACCACACTAAGCCACCCTCAGGAGACCTGGTTCAGTGTATTTCAGGTCTCAAGCAAACAAGCTTGGCTATAGTGATCTGCAGAGAAGAATGCTCTCTCTGTCAAGAAAGTGTGGGTTTTTGGGAGAAACTCTAGATGCTCAAGTGGGGATCTTAATGAATAAGAGAATACAGTATATTAGAAAATAACAATTGGACTAAAGTAAAAAGATTTGCATCAAAGTCCTCAGAGCTGTCACCAACTGGGATCATAAGCAAGTCTCTTTCCAAATCTTAGCATTTCATCTGGAGATAGATTTAATGATTGCTAGTCCTGGCAAGGTCGGCAGTTCAAGCTCACCAGCTGCTCCTTGGAAACCCTATACAGGATTGCTCTGGGTTGGAATTGACTCGACGGTACTTAACAGCAACAATAGTCCTGGTGTGGCAGTGTGGCTGGACTGCAAAGTTGTTTGAACCTCAAGGTTAGCGATTCAAGTTCACCAGCTGCTCCATGGAAACCCTATAAAAGGTTGCTATGGGCTAGAACTGACTTGACGGTGCTTAACAACAAGGCAGGCATGTTTCAGTTATAATTCTAAGACACTCATTCTTGTTTTTGTTGTTGATAGGTTATATCCCTCTGCCAGCAGAACACAAGCGTAGTGTTTATCTGTGCCCTGTACAATGTGTAGCAATGCTTTGGATAAATAGTTCTCAAATTAAAATTTTATTCAGGAGAGGACAGAGATATTCATTGACAGGATAAGTTCCGATATCAGGTGATCAATGTTGATTGTATTTTTTTTCTCTAAGAAAGAAGCAGCCCTGGTGGTGCAAACAGTTAAGTGCTTAGCTGCCAACCAAAAGGCTGGTCATGCCAACCCACCCAGTAATTCCAACCAAGAGTCCAACCAAGAAAATCCTATGAGACAGTTTTACTGTCACATGAGGTCATTATCAGTCGAAATTGACTCAACAGCACCTAACAGCAGCAAGAAAGCCTTGTTGTTGTTGTTGTTGTTAGGTGTCATCAAGTTGGTACCGACTCAGAGAGACCCTATGCACAACAGAATGAAACACTGCCCGATCCTGGGCCAAGCTCACAAATGTTGCCTTGTATCTTCCTCAACTTAAATCAATCTTAATTCTCAGAAACAAAACCCTGTCCTATGTCTATCTTCTCCCAAATCCACAAAACTGTTCCTAAGAGCAACTTTAAGAACGATCAGCTCTCCATTCTGATTAGTGCCATAGGAGATGGCTCCTGATAGAATGGGAGAAAGATGTAGAACAGAACTCAAATTCTTAGAAAGTCCAAATTTATTGGACCTATAGAGGACCCCCAAGACTATCACCCTGAGATACTCTTTAAAGTTTAAACCAAAACTACTTCAATGATCATATTTCAGATAAATAAGAGTGGTTCTTAAAATAAGGGCTGTCAAGATGGTCTGATTCACATATAATGATCCATAAAGGGTTTCAAAGACTGCAAATCTTTGTGAGAGCAGAGCAAACAGCTAACCTTGTTCATAGTCCAGTGTTTTTTCTACAGAGCCACAGCACTCCTGAATAATTTATATTTATTGTTGTTGTTGGTAAGTGCCGTCAAGTCGGTTCTGACCCATAGCGACCCTGTATAGGGTTTCCGAGGAGCAGCTGGTGAGCTTGAACTGCTGACTTTGCAGTTCAAATGGCTTTGCAGTCTGACGCATTAGCCCACAGTGCCTCACCAGCACTCTATGAATAACTTATAGAGACTGCTAAATGGGAACCTAACTTGCTGTGTAAACGTTCACTGAAAACACAATTTAAAAAAAAAAACAAGACAAAAATATTCAACATAGAGGACTGACTAAACAAACCGGTGCGTTGTTTGCTGGAGCACCATCTACACAGTAAATAACAAAGAGTACTGAGTAACAAAAGTATTTTTTTCATTTAAAAAGCAAGTTATAAAATTATACATTTGATTATAACTTTATTAAAAGTTCTATGCAGATGGGATGACTCTCAACTTTTCTATTATTTTTCAATTTTCTGAAGTTAAAAATTTACTTAAAAAACAAAACCCGCAGATTTTCCAATTAAACTCTGGCCAACAACCAATCTTTCTTATGGATTCTTATTTTCTACCCAGTCTTGACTCCACAGCACTCAACAACCACAAAAATGCCGTTAAGACTTCAGATATTATTCATAGTATTTGCGCAAACAGAGGCCCAACAACTTCCTTCCGCTCACCTTAGTGGGGTAGACGGAGCTGGAAGGAAAGGGCACCAAGGTGGTGAGGTCAAAGTAACGTCGCTCTATGGTCTTCTTGGTAGCCGGACAATAGTGGACACTGCGGACAACCTTGGGTCGAACGAGAGAGCCTAGAAAATGGAAAAAAAAAAAAATAAAGTCACCCAACTAGACAGTAGAAGTAGAATCTAAATTCAGACACGCCTACAAGAACGCCAAGTACTGTCATTTCAATATAAACCAAGCTAAAGCCAACGAGTTAGTCGAGTCAATTCCAACAGAGGGTAAGCCCAAGTGTGTCAGAGTAGAACTGTGCTCCGCAGTATTTCAATGACTGATCTTTCAAAAGCATTTCACCAGGCCTTTCTTCCAGAGACTTCTAGGTGGACTCAAACCTCCAACCTTGCAGATAGTTGATGAGTCTGTTAACCATTTGTACCACCCAGCGGCTCCTATCAATCATTCGTTTTTGTATCTGTATAGGGGGTTTCAAAAAGTTGATGGAAAAATTCCATTTCTTTTCAATCCACTTCTAGTACACAGAACATTACCCTATCTATGTAAAATTTTAATTATAACTTATTCCAGCTAAGAAATAATAATAAGGGTTCAAAGTTGAAATGAGGCAGCTGTCAGAGCCAAGCTCTACCCCAACTCTCATGAGCGCGAATAAGCACAGGGGTCCTTCAAGGTTATTCTCATCACTGTATACTGTTGACTCCTCTAAGTTTCACCCCAAACTTCCTCCTATCCTTCACCTTTCTAAACCCACCAACTACACAGCTCTACTTTACCCCTCCTGCTCTGTCAGAGCCCCTGAGTTGGCCTATCCATTTCCACCCCCTTAGTCCCCACTTTTATCCCACTCACATTTAGTAACAATGCCCTCCACACAGACTACACAACTGAGGAAGCAGGAGGTAAGGGTCCTGGGGGAGACATGCTTGGAGCCAAAACTGCCCTCCAGTCCTATGTAGAACTCTTCATACTGCTTGGCATAGGTAGCATCAATGGAGGCCACAAAATCCTTTAAGGCCCGCTGGAAGGCAACTAGTTCCTCAAAGGCATTGTTCAGGAGGCTGTATATGGACAAGAATAAAAATTAGGAAGAAAACTTAAGCTCACTACCACTGAAACAGTTGCGACTCTCAGCAACCCTACATAGAATTTCTGGTGTGATGCTGTAGGATAAGCATTGAGCAGAAAGGTCAGTTTAAACAGCAAGGTCAGCAATTCAAACCCACCAGTTGCTCCTCAGAAACTCTTTACGGTGTCACTATGACCTGCAACCTACTCGACAGAACTTAAAACACTGTCATTCTGTACAAGAGCAGACTGCCACATCTTCCTCCCATGGAGCAGCTGGTGGTTTTGAATCGCCAACCTTGTGGTTGGCACATCAATGCTTACTCATTAAGCAAAGAAAACAAATTTTCAAACACTGAAAACAGAAGTGGAAATTCTTAGATTATCAAAACCAAAAAGTAGAAATCTAGCTCCTCCTTTCTGAGGGCCAACATTAATTTAACTTATGAAAAATGTAGAAACTATAGTTAGCTAATACAACAGAAGAAGAGGACTTGAGAGAAGTGCCCAACACATTTAGAAGAAACATAAATAATGGAGTAGAAGAAGCAATGAAAGTACTAGGTCAATCCCATTTGATCCAGGTCCTCTTCTGGGAAGCCCATTCCTATCTGGGGAAGAAGGATGCTGAGAGCCAGGACTCTCCTTTGGGAACCTTTGCCTCTCACCGGTTAGCCCTCTTCTCATTTTTCCTGCGCAGGTCATTCACGTTGACAATCAGCCGGTATTGGTTGTCACTGATCAGCTCCCGCACTTTGCTTTGATAAAGCCCTTGGTCTTCCTGCAAAACAGGCACCAGATTAAAAAATGCAATGTTTTTAACCAGAAACAACTGTCACAGCAAGGTAAATAAGTCAGTCTCTAAGGTAGCCATTTCTCCATTTCTCCTGTATTTTCACTTTAGCCTCAGATTCTAAATAAATCCTTTGGGGACACTGTAGGAATTATAATGACTTTCTGAAGAATAATCATTTAAAAAATACAAGTTATCATTTCTATTATCGTCAACATGTGTTAAAATTATTCTGTATGCTATCATTTCTCAGCCTTTAGTGGGAAACTAAAACGAGTACATATGAGTCTGGAATAAGATAAATAAAAAATGTGTTAAATGTAAATGTAACAAAATTTTCTTATTAAAATCAAAATATCTTCACTTAACAATTATTGGACAGAACTAAGGTACTTTTTCTGATCACCTATATAATACACATGAAAGAGTTCTCCTATCTAGATATAGCATCACCAATTCTTCAAGGTGCTTTATCAACATTTTAGATTTAATCTTGGGATCCTATACGACTCCCTTTACTGGAAACCCCATAGCCTTCATGACTCTTTAAAACAGAGTAGCACTGCCCCACAAGGTTTCCTAGCCTGTAATCTTTTGGAAGCAAAAAGCCACATCTTTCACCTAGGAAGCTGCTGGAAGTTCAAACAGACCATCTGGCTAGCATCCTAAGCACTTTGACCATAGTGCCAACAGGGATTCTTATTAGCATACAGTATTCCCTTATCTAAGGAGCTCTGGTAGAGTAGTGGTTACCAATCAGGCTGCGAACCTTAAGGTCAGCAGTTCGAAACTACCAGCTGTTCCGCAGGAGAAAGATGAGGCTTTCAGCTCCGGTAAAGACTTACAGCCTTGGAAACCCTGTACAGGGTCGCTATGGGACTCGATGGCACTTAACAACAACAACAATATTCCCTTATCTGCATACAAACCCATCTTTATCTGCATCTTATTTCATATTGGAAAAGAAAGTGCCCAAATTAGCAAGTCTTTTTCCTCCAAGTAATAGCAAGACAGTTACAGTTGTTAGGAGCTGTGGAGTCTGCTTGGCCTTCAGACTGTTAAGTCCTGTGTCATCCTTATTGTTACAGCCACTGTCAGTCCATCTCCTTGACTGTTGTTAACTGACTTGTCAGTCAGTTTCGACTCATATTGACCCTGTATACGGTTTCTGAGGAGCGGCTGGTGAGCTTGAACCACCCACCTTGAGGTTCAAACTGAACTTGCAGTCCAGCACATTAACCCACAGTGCCACATGAGGACTCCATAATATTCTTCCTGTTTTTCGCTACCTCTCTAATTTCTATGCATGATGTCCTTCTCCAGAAATGGTCCCTCCAGATAAGATGATTCGCCATCCTGGCTTTTAAGGAGCATCTGGCAGTACTTCTTCCAAGATATGTGTGTTCTTCTGGCAGTCCGTGGTATAATCAATATCGTTCGTCAACATCAGATGAACCTTAGTCCTCAAAGTGACATCCCCTCTCTCAAAAGAGAGCAGGGAATGATTTACAAAAAGATCAAGGCAACCCTTCCCGTTTTGTTTGCATTCGAGGGGATCTGTCGCCTTTCGAGTGACCCCATCCATCACTTATACTTATGAAAAAGTTATTGAACTTTTTCTAAAACGTTTCTCTAAAGGTTCACTATAGAAAACCAATCAGCAACTGATTCCAATGAGAGAAAACTACAAGATCTGGGTGGAAGCCTCCACGCCTGCGGGCTCCGAAATAGCAATCCTGGTCCTCCACCCGCACCGCTCTGGAGATCTGACTGCCCAGCCCTGTGGTATCTCCGGCAGGCCCGCAATCCCGCGCGTACTCCCCGGCCTGCCCAGTCCCCAAGGGCTCCACACGCCTGAGCCTTGCGACCCGGAGCCTCCCCCACCTCGTCATCCAAGAAGTCCAGGTAATCTCTCTGCGCCTCCCGCAGCTCCACGTCGTCTAGAACCACTGTCCCGGCCATGCTCGCGGCCTTGGAATTGCCTTCTAGAAATCGGAGGAATTGCCCTCTAGAAATCTAGAAAACAGAGGGCCCTAGATTGACTCCGTCCCGGCGCGAAAACCTCCCAACTTTTCCCGCCACCAACGATTACTCAGAGGAAGGGGAGGGGACTCTAAAAACAATGCACATTGTGATTGGTTTGATCATCTTACACCGGAGCAGCATGTGTCCAATCAGGAGCTTCTTCTTCTTTAGGCTTTCCGTAAGGCGCCTCGAGGTGGCGGGAAATGTGGTATCCGGGGTGGGCCCTGTTTGTTTCTTCGCCTCCCTGCTCCAGGCTCATTGCAAGAAAAACCGGCAAATGGAGCCAAAATGGGCTCACGCAACCTAGTCATTGGGCAGCTAGAGAAAGCGGTCCGGGAGGTGGGGAAGCGCTGCCTTCTGGGAGTCGTAGTCTTCTCCCCTCTCCCGGATGTTTTGTAAATTCTTTTCAGGCTTCTGCGGCAGAGCGACCAATTTTAACCTGGCGTTGAGATTAGTTTGAGCATTACTTGGTGATACGTTAAACGCCAAAGAATGAGAGATTATAATTTAGGGAGGGGAAAATATTGAAGGAAATCGTTTTTAAAACATATCCACATCAGATGTACTAGATGTTTCATGCAACTTCCTTCAGATGGCATCCATGGAAAAATGAATTTCGAGAATCTGTAGGATGGAAAAGGAGCCCTGGCGGTAGCGTGGTTAAATTCTTAGCTGCTAACCGAAAGGTCATTAGTGAGGTTAGCCCAGGATCGGGCAGTGTTTCGTTCTGCTGTGCATATGGTCGCTATGAGTCGGTACCAACTCGATGACAACCTAACAACAACTGAAAGATCAGCAATTGGAACCCACCAATTGATGGAATTCCGCTTTCATAAAGATTACAGTATTGGAAACCCTGTAGAGGAGTCTAACTCTGCCCTATAGTGTTGTTTGTGTTCCGATCAATTCTATGGCAACGGGTTTGGATTTTTGGTGGGAAGAAAAATAGGATCAATATCTTAGAGAAAGGTTATTTCATTCAGTGGTTCAGCAACCCTTTTGCTAGCTGAATATTGTTGTCTGAATTACCCCATAAGATTACCAGGCCAGGGAGGATGGTGATACATGAGAAAAGCTTTTGTATGTATGCCACCCCCATGGGTGTAAATCTTTACGGGAGCAGAAAGCCTCATCTTTCTCCCGCGGAACAGCTGGTAGTTTTGAACTGCTGACCTTGCGGTTCGCAGCCCGATTCGTAGCCACTACGCTACCAGAGCTCCTTAGATATGTATATAGAAATATACATATCAATATACATATATATTTTTGTCTTCATAGGCTATAGTTACATTGAGTACTAGATAACTTGAAACATTAGCAAACAACCAATTTGCTGAAATTTCAGATGTGGAGTTGCAGGTTTTTTGTATTGGGCAATCAAGTGTTTTAGCTTGCTGTTCAGTAAAATCAAAAACACTTTTTGGGGCAATGAAAATGTTTACTGTGACTGGGTGGATACTGGGTTCCTACCAAAAAACGAAACCAAACCCATTGCCTTGGTTTGATTTCAACTCATAGGAGAGAGTAGGGCTGCTCCTTAGCTATTCCAAAGGCTGTAAATCTTCACTGAAGCCCACTGTTAACATCTTTCTCTTTGTGGCTTGTGGGTTTGAACTGCTGACCTTTCAGGTAACAATCCAAGGCTTAACCTATTGCACCACCAGGGCTCCTTATATGGATGTGTATAAAGGTAAAAATTAATTGAATTCAAGATTTGTGAATTTGTTGTTGTTTTTGTTAAGTGCCGTAGAGTCTGTACTGTTTCTATATTACAGAACTAAAATTATACCTATAAAATTATAGATCTGAAAACAAAAAATCATAAGAGTAAGAACAAACGAAACTTGTATATGCCTTTGATCTCTTAATTAGCGACTGGGTAGTAGAAGAAATTAAATGTGAGTTCACAAAGTTCCTAGAAATAAATGAGAACGAAAACACAACATAAAATCTTTGGGACACGGCGAAAGTGGTACTGAGAGGACAATTTATTGCAATAAACGCACACATCCAAAATGAAGAAAGAATCAAAATTAACACATTAACACAGCATCTACAACAATTAGAAACAGACCCACGGAGGGAACCCACAGCCACCAAAAGAAAAGAAATAATAAAGATTAGAGCAGAAATAAATGAGATAGAAAACAGAAAAACTATAGAAACAATCAACA